AATTAACGTCAGAACCTTGAGGACAAGGCTTGCGGAATATGGCATCCAATATGGAAAAAAATTCAGTACAATATCTGATGAAGAACTGGATGTTCTGGACGCAGTGTTCATAACCAAATGTATGTTCATATTGTAGATTTTGATATTACACAAGTCCAAAAATTTTTCTCACAGCTCCACTTTGATGAATATTGTGGCAGGTATTGCTAGCCAGCCAGGGCAGACTCACCCTTCCGACTGCAACTGTGTTTGTCAGCTTGGCATCCCTTTCAGAGAGTCCACATAGTTAATATGGTTTGGAAGATTGAAGCAAAATTTCATTTTTACTGTTAAAATAGTGCTCAATACATTAAATGTAGAGCGATATAGAAATATTATTTTAATATTTTTAATATTTCTAGCTGTTATTGATGTCAGTACTGTAAAAGTTTATTATTTCCAGTAAATATATTATATCTTTTCAGAATTGAGCGATTTTGGCGAGATCTGTGGACAGGCTGCATTGGATTATTTCATAATTTATTTCGCTCAATGGAGGACCAAGGTATTCTAATATCAACTGATGAACTACATCTTTATGCACTGCATTATGTTTTTTATTACCAAGAATTCAGAACCACCTAGATTTTTTTAGAAGATTTTTTTATGAGACGGCCATTGAGAACTGCCCAATTCCAATCTCCAATTCAGATGTGGACATATGGTTAAATGCTGAATCCGTCTGAAACTTTGACACATGAGGTATGCATATACAAATTTGTGTCTTTTTATCTTTGACAGTTATTTATTGAACAAAATACCCATTAAATTGTACCTAGCAATATAATCTTCACTATTTCTTATTATATAAAAATAATTTCCATAATGAAAATAGTTTTTCCCTTCACTCCATCTACCAGTAATACTTTGTCCACTTAAATATAATTCTTATTTCAGAATATTCAAGATTTTGGAGTGAATCAAGAAGGACTATGGACTGGGAATGAACCTGGTTGTTCACCAGAACTCTTGTATCATTCCTAATGATGTAAAAGAAGAATTAAGAAACCATGATGACCCACTACAAGCATCTGATTCTCATGGAACCGATCTGTTTTGCAAAACTGTTCACTTTCTTACGAGTAAAATTGATTTATTGGATCAATAATTATGATTGTTTCTAAAAAAAATGTGATGCATTACTTTTTTCTGCTTAACACAAGCTTGACCAAGGACATGTCGTTGTTAATAATACCACCAAAGGTGACTTATTAAAAATAAAGTCCTATCGGTTAGACAATTTGTTGTAACAGTTAAATTTTGTTAATGGCAAATGAGACTTTTCTGCAACACTGTTCTGGTCATTGTGTTTTTCATATACATATACAAGAGTCAGAAAGGAGTCCTCTTCTAAATTTAACAAAAATTCATTCATCATTTTATTAGATTTTCCAAAAAAAAATATGCCTAGCGCTGTATTTAAATCAGATGACATCAATGTGGTCCATTTAAGCAATGAACGATGGACCCACTGCCCAAGGCAGTCATGATAAATTTGGCACCTTGACCAATGTATTCATTGTCAATTAATAATTGTTCGTAATATATGTTCTATGTTAAATATTAAATCTTGAACACCATTCATTTGACTCTTAACATTCCTACTGGTACTGAATATAGACGCAATGAATAGGCAAGAAAATTTTGTGGACTTTTCGTTAAATTCTACGTGTTAATAAACTAACAATGCAAGGAAAAGGACTTAGATGCCTTCTTCACAATTCAGATTAATGATTTAGAATTTCTTGATGTTATTTTTCATTCTTTTCTTTTATCTTACTTAATAATGACGTGTTCAACAATTTTCTCATGCTCAGAAATCGGATGAAAAATGTGTTGCTTTGTTGCTGTAGAACGTCAAATACATTACGTTCAATCTTCAACTCTGTATACCAAAGCAGAGTATACATAAATAAAATATATTTGATAAATAAGAACACTATTATGGATATACTACTACTTAAAGAAACTTTGAGTTGTTAAGTTTTTAGCTGGAATATATAATTTTCTGATCTGTATGGTTAATCACCACTTGATAACGTTACCTGTATGTGTAATGAAACGTTGTGTTCAATAATAAATAGAAGTCTATATCCATAAAAACTGTTGTTTCTTAATGTGCTGTGATACTTCTAAATGTCTTACAAGGAATATACTACTACTTCCTTTAGTAGTATATCCATAATAGTGTTGTTATCTATTTAGTGTTCTATATATTTCTAAATGTCATTTAGAGAATATATATTCGGTATACCTGGTATATTTTTCTATGAGACAAAATATGTTACCCAGTTGTGAAAGCTAAGTGGAATTGGCCTGTGATATATGACATCTTAACATGTAAAGGGAGGCTACTAACATCGAAGATTTTGGATATACGCATCTTCGAACATAACCCCAATTAAATTATATCTTGAAAAGCATTGTTCACCATTCGTACCCCGTCTCAGAAACGGGAATTGTTCAGATATGCTTATCAATAACCAGATTTTAGACTTCTTAGCCGTGTGTATTCAAAATTATCAGGATTAACTGCAGTCATTATGGATCCTTCGGAACTATGAAGAGCACCAATGAGGAAATCCTTCAAAACTAGCACACGGACGGAAAATGTTACGTCAGGGGTTGATATAAAAGAGCGATTACTCAATCAATTGAAAAATTGTTTGCTATAACCAAGGTCAATACACAAAATGAAAATTGGATGCGCGCTGTTATTAATTGTTGATGTATTTTAACGAAGCTGGAACTGCACTATATCCAAAACCACTAAATCATTTTTCCAATGTACTGAGATCGATAATTGTCGACCACAGGCATGTTCGGAATCAAAATAAAAAAATCCCGCCTCATTTAAATTGTTCTTGTTGGCAATATTTTAATCAGTGAAAAAAAAGAAAATTTTTTTTGGGTCCAACTTACAAATTTTTCCTGATCAAAATGACTAAAAAATGGCCGATTTTGGCCGATTTTTTCGGTTTTCATAGGTCAAACTAAAACCGCTACTGTAGGCAAACCGTACATTCGAGAGAGTTGCGCTTTGGTGGGTGGGTAGACAACTCGTGGCGGGCGCTACATGGCGCCACAAACCGGGATGCTGTATCTCACTTGGTTCCAAAGTTACAGGAGCTAGAAATTGGCCTTTTATTCCATAAATTAAACCCAATTTTTTCCGTCTTTCGTCTCTAGTTTTTCGCCAAAATGCAGGAAACATCTTTAAATCGAATTTCCAATCTCCCTAGGTCCCCCCAAATCGATTTCAGTCAAAAAAAAGAAAATTTTTTTTGGGTCCGACTTATAAATTTTTCCTGATCAAAATGACTAAAAAATGGCCGATTTTGGTCCATTTTTTCGGTTTTCATAGGTCAAACTAAAACCGCTACTGTAGGCAAACCGTAAATGCGAGAGAGTTGCGCTTTGGTGGGTGGGTAGCCAACTCGTGGTGCTACATGGCGCCACAAACCGGAATGCTGTATCTCACTTGGTTCCAAAGTTACAGGAGCTAGAAATTGGCCTTTTATTCCATAAATTAAACCCGATTTTTTCCGTCTTTCGTCTCTAGTTTTTCGCCAAAATGCAGGAAACATCTTTTAATCGATTTTCCAATCTCCCTTGGTCCCCCCAAATCGATTTCAGTCAAAAAAAAGAAAATTTTTTTTGGGTCCAACTTAGAAATTTTTCCTGATCAACATGACTAAAAAATGGCCGATTTTTTCGGTTTTCATAGGTCAAACTAAAACCGCTACTGTAGGCAAACCGTATATGCGAGAGAGTTGCGCTTTGGTGGGTGGATAGCCAACTCGTGGCGCTACATGGCGCCACAAACTGGGATGCTGTATCTGACTTGGTTCCAAAGTTACAGGAGCTAGAAATTGGCCTTTTATTCCATGAATTAAACCCGATTTTTTCCGTCTTTCGTCTCTAGTTTTTCGCCAAAATTCAGGAAAACATCTTTAAATCGAATTTCCAATCTCCCTCGGTCCCCCCAAATCGATTTCAGTCAAAAAAAAGAAAATTTTTTTTGGGTCCAACTTTAAAATTTTTCCTGATCAAAATGACTAAAAAATGGCCGATTTTGGTCGATTTTTTCGGTTTTCATAGACATTATGAAGGTAAACCATACAGATTTGCCAACTGAGCTTATATAGAACTTTTTCCATATGACGTTCAAATATTGCAGGGGCATTGGTCAAACCAAATGGAAGGGACTTAAATTGCCGCAACCTGGTATGGGAAAAGCTGTCTTATATCTATCTTCTGATGCTACTTGAAGTAAAAGCCACTGGTTAAATCTATTGTCGAATATAGAGATGAATCTCCACTTGCATCTAATATCTGGGGAATTTGAGGTAATGAATGAGAATCTTTTAATGTATAATAGTTCAACTTTCTATAATCAATGCATATTCTTAAGGCATTATTAGGTTTTTTTCGCAGTATGACTACAGGACTGCGCCAAGGGCTTTCAGAAGGCTCGATAATACCTTTTGTTGCCATTTCAGATATTTCCTTTTCTGCTTCTTTTGCTAGAGCTAGTGGAATTCGTCTGGGAGCTTGTTTTATTGGCCTTGCACCTTGAGTATCAATTTTATTTTGAACTATATGTGTCATGCCCAAGTCATCTGGAGTTTTCGAAAAAACATCTTGAAAATTGAAGTAGATTTTTTAGTTCATTTTGTTCATGTGCTGACAAATCTGAGGATGCCTCCTTATATAAAAGTTCTAAATGGTCTGGAAGGGAATCCTTACATGTACACTTCGTTAACATGCACAGCATCTACATGACCTTCTATTAACTCCTCGTCATGTACAGTCTCAATGTTGGCGACCACAGAATTCTTGTAAAGCTTTAGATCAGTATCATTAACGTTTAAAATTCTTAATGGAATTATCCCCTTACTAGGATTAACTAATGTTTTAGCCACCAATGCTTCATACTTTTCTGTGAATTTGTCACTTGGTTATACATATACTGTATTTGTATTTGGAATGGGATCTATTACGTTTCCTAATATAATGGTCTCAGATAGTGCAGGAATAATGGTATCTTCAGCAATAGATACTCTACTACACTCTTTATTCTGTCCCTCTTGGAAAGAATAGATTGGTAGTTTTCCTCCTTTAATGCTCATACATTTATTTTCTAACAATAAATTGATTGAATTTTTACTTAAAAAGTCCATCCCTAATATTACTCTTTGTGTTATTTCAGCTATTAAGAACTGGTGTTTAAAATTAAATGATCCAAACGTTATTTTAACAGTACAACTACCAACAAATGGACGTTTCTCACCTGTTGCAGTTACTAAATGTAAGTTATCAGTGGGTTCCATTTGGAATTTGTTATCCTGTTGTAAAGTTTTGAACAATGGCATACTTATTATAGATACTGAAGCACCAGTGTCTAATACAAATTCAACATTTGTCTCATTAATTTTCCCATTTGTGAACAACCCACGATTATTACCTATGTTACTAATTGCTATAATTTTGGGTCTGTCTATAAAGGTTGCTGAATTCTGACCCTCGAAATCAGCAATTACATGTTTCCCGAATTATCTGTATTTTCTTGAGTATTTACAAAATTATGAGAAGTGGATTGCAAATGTCTTTCAGAACCTAAATTATGATGATTAACATCTTGAGATTCCATTCTTCTATAATGATTATTTTCAGAATTTCTTCTGAAATTGCCATAATGATTTGATTGATTATTATTATAGTTATATCTTTTATTATGATCGTTATTATTTCTATTTGCGGCTTTGTTTGTATTCCAGTTCCAATTTGATTTGGAATGGTCATTTCTAGAATGATAATCTCCTTTTAAGGTCTGTATTAAGTGACTTGTTGTCTTCTCTAGGGAATTTATGGAACTATTTAAATTCTTAATATCAATTTGATCATTTTTAGTGGATTCTGAAACTGCAGCATTTACTGCCACTTTTGTTTCATTTCACTCTATGGCATGGACATGTCGTCCTCTTTGTCTATCTGCAAGCCAGTGAGCTTCTAGTCTCACTGTTAAAATTTCTGCCTCATTTGTTTTTTGTGGTCTTAATTCCCTTATTCTTAATCTTATTTCAGCATCAGGAATGGCATCAATAAAATGATCTAATGCTAATATGTTTGTTAAAGAAGTATTGGCTGTTGGATACGATTGCCTGGTAAGTTTTGTGATAGACATTGCGAGTTCCGAAAGTTACTCGGATTTCCCTTTAACTTTACTTTGCAATTTAGCTCTGAACATTTCAGACCTTTCAATTGAACCAAATCTAAAATTTAAAGTTTTAACTAAATTCTCAAAATTTTGTCTGTCAGTCTGGCTCATCTCCATTAAAATTATTCTTGCATTTCCTGACAAGGAGCTTGCCAAATATAATGCTTTTTCATTATTGATCCAATTATTTAGATCAGCAATGATATTAAATTGAGTAATATATTCGTCAAAATCTTCCTCTCCATTGTATTGCTGAGGTTTAATTGTAACTCTTTTACGTCTACTATGTATTTGGGTATGATGGTAATTTTCATTTTGATCTATTGCAGAATTTGAAATGTTATCGTTATCACTGAGGCTTAAATTAGAAGAAGAATTGGTATTAGAAGAGTTCCCAGCATTTAAAGTTTTATTTATCATTTTATGCAACTCTGTAATTTCATTATTTAATTTTATATAAAAATCATGTTTAAACATATTTAATTTCTCAGTTATCTTATTCAAAATTAATTCATCTTCAGAATTGAATTTAATGTTCTCATTGTTATCTTGTTCTTCATTTATCACCAGACTAGGCTCTTTAAAAGATATGTCAGGATCATAACTAGCCATATTTATGCTATTTTAATTAGAATTATTTTATTTTCTTTGTATTTGTGGTTATGATTCTCTCCAGTGTAGCCAAGGTAAGAATGTTGGAAATCCCACTTCTGACACCAATGTTACAAATCCCAAAAATCTGTCAGGATGAAGGTAATTTTGTTATCAATTTATAAATATAAGGACCCGCCCAACATCAAACCTAAAATGCTACGAAGTTGGAGAGATATCAAAACACGCAAATAAACAACAATACTTTTATTTGTAAACACTACAATAAAACAAATCAAACAGGTATCTTCTCAGCTTCTCTAAATATCTATATTTAGTTTATTCTAATTTACACTTCTGGAATTAAATTATTAATTATATTAATTTGTTATTATATTATATATACTTAAATTTCATTATCTTAATCTTAATTTAGGATATATAAGAGTTTTGTATCTTTACGTTACTTATTTTATATTATTATTGTTTCATAAAAAGTTATAATATTTCTCCAACCCAATGTTGGTATTTAATTATGGGCTCTTTATTTGATCTTGGAGAATGTTAATTTCTCCAACTTTAAGCTTAAGGTTTCTCTATTTTTAATCTTTCTCCAAATTTTAGATTGGAGATTTTCTCCAACCAAAAGTATTTCTCCAACTTGATCTTGGGGATATTCTCCAACTTTGATATATTGGAGATATTCTCCAACTTTGATATATTGGAGATATTCTCCAACTTTGATATTTTGGAGATATTCTCCAACTTTGATCGTGGGGATTTTCTCCAACTTCAATAGTGGAAATATTCTCCAACTGTATTATTTAAGGAATCCTCTTGAAGGATCTTGTATTAAACCTTAATTTATTCACAGTCTTATATTTTTCTCCCCAATTAAATTATTTCTCCAACTTCAATATTGGAGATTATTTACTTACTTTGTCAGAAAAGTCGATCTGCTTTGAGAAACTCATTTTCGTCTGAATGAAAGCGTAGCATGGAGGTAGGTAGGTAGATGACAAGTTAACGTTCGCTTCCAGCGGATGCTGATAACGCAAACTAGCGTAGCATGGATGGTTGGTTGGTAGATGACAAGTTAACGTTCGCTTCCAGCGGATGCTGATATCGCAAACTAGGTAGTTGTTGGTAGTCGTAGTAGTTGGTAGTTGGATGCGTAGCATGGATTACGCGCCCTTTATTTATAACGTCAGTGCGGACGTCACGGTAAACATTGCGCGTTCGTGTTGTTGTTCTTATTTCAACGGATTTAATGGCTTTTAC